ATTTTATTCATTTATTAGCTTCGCCAATACTTTACATTACAATCACATAACATGAAAGCTAAACTTGTTCACAATATCAAATACGTTTGTGTTCCTTAAGGCCGGCGCACACTAGAGCTATGTGCTTAGCAAAATGTCATTCGTGACTGTTGGCGTAAGGAGATAGCTCTCGTGTGCGGGCGATTTACGAACGACTTTTGTCATTCGTGCCACTTACGCCAACTATCTAACATGTTTGATAATTTCTGCCTCGCGTGCCAAAATCTTTCCTTGTGCGGCGAACGAAAGCTATCTGCTTACGGATTGTCGTAACAGCGCATGCGTAGTATACGAAAGTAAACATCCAAGATGGCGGTCAGAACTCACATCGTATAAACATTTATATTCAGGCCAAAGTTCGACAAGTTTGTCCTCTAAAATTGCCTCGGCCAGCAATTCATTTTGCGCCGCCATCTTGGATGTTTACTTTCGTATACTACGCATGCGCTGTTACGACAATCCGTAAGCAGATAGCTTTCGTCCGCCGCACACGGAAAGATTTTGGCACGCGAGGCAGAAATTATCAAACATGTTAGATATTTGGCGTAAGTGGCACGAATGACAAAAGTCGTTCGTAAATCGCCCGCACACGAGAGCTATCTCCTTACGCCAACAGTCACGAATGACATTTTGCTAAGCACATAGCTCTAGTGTGCGCCGGCCTTAAGCCTGTTTTATAATTCCAAGGAATTTTTAATTCGTTGAATTTAGTTAATGATACTGTACAGTTTTTTTATTAGAGAGAAATAAAGTTTTAAATTGAAGTTTTAAATGGTTTTGTAATTGTTTCGAGTTACTGCATCAAACGCTAAACCGATATAACATATACCTACACGATGACTAAATCACTGATAATACCTAACAATTAATTTCAATAGTACATACTGATTTCCACAACACATCTCGTAACATTCTATCAAGGTGAAACAAATATAGCCTACATCTGCGTGCCTTAGCAACCTACAGTCTAATTGTTTTCAATTTAACATAATACAACAATCGTAACAATTACAAAACGGTCTAAATTTAGCGAGCACAAACGACAAACTCCTATGCGAGGTGCCGGCATAGGAAAACTGTAACTGTCCATTCACTTTAGTGATCCTATATAATTATGTTGAAATTTGTGATATTTACCGCTTCTGATATTTTATTCTTCAGTTTTAAGACAAAATAATGCTATGGTATAGTGAGAGGATCAAACTTTTTTGAATCCATGCAAAATATAAATAGAGAGAGAGAGCATGTTACGTTGCTGTTGTTGAGCTTTCCTTTATAAAGGACACTACACTAGCTGTATTTAGCTACTTGTATGCTTTATCGCCGTTTTAAAACTGTGAAATTCTGTAAGTTGTCGCGCTCATGCATAAGGGCTAAAGACATATATATCTTGTAGTACTTATAAATATATATTTATAGCTAAGCTATAGACTATATATTATCTGTAGTGTCCTACATCCACAAAATTGTTTTCTATATATGTTACACTGTGTATTTAAGCCCACAAAATGGCGAAACAGCTGTCCACAGTCGTTGTTGAACTTTAAAGGGCACTACAATGTCTTTAATGTATATGCTTTTATCGCCGTTATAAAACTGTGAAATGCAGTTGTCGTGCGCATAAGGGTTAAAGACATATCTTGTAGCCTAGTATATAAATAATATAGGTTAAGACAGTTAATTTATATACATTATTTGTAGCTAGTGTCCTACATATCCACCAATTATTTATTTATATTGCATGTCCAGGGCGCTCCTTGATAACAGCGCTTGCTGACGAGCAGAGCTTACCCCAGTAAAATATGTAAATGTTATTATTATTATTGTTTTCTATATTATGTCCTTCAGATCTGGAAGCTCGATCATCATCGGTTACACTGTGTTAAAAGCTGCATGTTCCGACGGTCGTCGTTGTTGAACTTTAAAAGGCACTGTAAAAAGCAGAACTAATCAAACCTTTTATATAGTTTTTATTTTAATAAATTTACATGACCTCCATACTCGGCAACGCCTTGGCTACAATGATGAACTAACTTGTCCATGTGGTCTGATCATGTTGTCTGATTGACTAATGGCAATAAACGTAACTTGATACAATATAAAGTGTCATAATATAAAGTTTCTACATCCTTCTCCACCAAAGAAATCGCTGTGCGAATGTACAGTAATCTCTTAATCGTCATGCGTTTTGTCCGAGGGTTTTGTCATCTACGGCAGCCTTTCTCGTCCACCTTCTCAAACTATCGCGTTGTGTTTCATTTCCTTCATTTGACTCCACTATCTCATCGTGTTCTACGTTCCTGTTTTCCTCGCCGTTATTCTCCGCGATCTCAAACGATATCAATTTCTGTAGTGCATGGTCGATGGATCGGTCTTTGCTTCCCACTCTTGCTAAGTACTTTTAGCGTTGCACCTCTGACTTGACCGTCCCGTCCTGTTAGAAGTTCAATTGTATAACTTTTCCAATTCTCCACTGCGTTCGGGGAGCTGGCTCATCGTCTTTGACGAGAACTACGTCACCGATTATCAGATCATGCACGAGTAGAACACTTAACTTTGGATATATGTTCATCTGTCGTAATTCATTCAAGTACTCTCTCCGAAACCGAACCCAACAATCCTTTAATACCTTTTGCAGATGCACAAGCCGATCTTTACACTGTCCGAGACTAATTAAGATTTAATGGTACATTATCCGTATTCCTCCGGCCGAGATCTCTTCTAACATAACCACGTCGCTGTATCAGATGGAATGGTGTCCAGGTCATCCTCGCTAAGACATGCCAATGGCCAATTGTTAATAGCAATTTCCACGACACACAAAATCGTTTGAATCTCTTCGAATGTTGTATAAGTCCTCCCCAGGGTATGCCCTGCGCAAAATAGCCTTCCTATACAGGGTGTATCAAAAAACCCGCAACCTCGGAATTTCCCAAGAAATCGACATTGTTTTAAGGACAAACGATTTTAGGCGCCTGGGAATTTAAAATAGCACAACTGTCAAAATTACTGCACACGCGAGTGCATAAAGCAAAATTTATGCATTTATTTAATGCACAACAACAGTCATATGATCTATTAGCAATTCGATTTCAGTTCCCAGGGGCCTTAAATCTTTTATGCTTAAGAATTGCAAAGTGATTTCTTAGGAAATTCCGAGGTTGCGTTTTTTTTATACACCCTGTAGATTGGTGATTTGTTATGTTACTGCACTTAGATGGAAAATGACCTTCTTCATTACAATAAACTGGGGGTTTACTGTTATGGCTTAGCAATCTACTAGCTGTGTATGCATTATCACTTTTCCTGAATCGTTCTGATTTGTTAACCGGTGAGAGACTATAATTTTCTTGGGCTCTAGAGTTCATTGCCAAAATACTCCATCACTTCATCTAAGTTCCAGACTTTGCCACAAGTTGTCGAGAAATTATCATATTAATCTCATCAGGCAATCTGTCCTTTAATATGGAAACTATAGAAGTGAACCATATTCACTGGTGTCCAGCTTAATACAATTTGCAACATGAGTATAAAGCATTCTTAATTAATCCTTTGATGTTACCTACAGACCTAATCTTACCAATTATCAACAAAGATTCCATAGAAATATACTCGTTAAGTTCGCTCGTTAGACTTTTTAAGTAGGTTGCAAGGTCGATGTGTCTATACCTAGAGCTCTAGCCAATTTCCCGCCATATTTTACATACAAGACAATAGGTCACAATACGAGACAATACACAACTATGATGCTTAACCCGCAAAGTTAGATTCCAATTTTACCGTTACACAAGGATAGAACTCAGAGAAAACAAACCGGATGGTATTCTAACACGAAAGAACCTTTTATAATACAGAAACGGAAAAGAAACACTAGATTTTACCTCCGAAAGACTGAAATGTCACATACAACGCGAGTCCACCGACACGTTCCGAAGACACTCAGAGTCATTTGTGTTCACTATCGCCGACTATAGCTAAACGCATCTTCATTTCTTTTCCAGTACCGTTCTAGTGTCCCCTATCGGGCTCCATGTAAAAAGCAGAACTAATCCAACCTTTTATATAGTTTTTTTATTTTAATAAATTTACAATGATGAACTAATTGTCAATGTGGTCTGATCATGTGGGTCTGATTGACCAATGGCAATAGACATAACTTGATACAATATAAAATGTCATAACATAAAGTTTCTACAATATCTTTCAATACTTGTATGCTTTAATTATCTCTGTTTTAGAACTGCATGTGAAATACAGTTGTCGTGCGCATAACGGCTAAACTGGCTTGTAGTATATAAATATGTATTTTTACATATATTGTATTTTTATATATATTGTATTTTTATATATATTTAATATTTTGCATATGGAAACCAGACTTTAGCAATTCAACCAAATAATTCACAAAAGAGCAGACATTTGTGAACCAGGCTTAAGCTAGCTCAGAAGTAAGTGCCGTTTTCAAATGCTGGCTCCGCCGCTTTGCGTTGCTTCCGGCGCCCCTGTAACTATTTGGATTCCGGCCATGTTGGTGGTATTAAAACAAAAGAATCTAATTATCTTTCATGCACTGACCTTTGCACCATGCAGCGTGGCTGCCATTTTATTGTCTTTCAATTCTCAAGGGATTGCATGGCTGCAAGTCAATACCTGTAATAGGTCGAGATTTCTGTGACCATCAGAGGTCAATCATGGGCATGAATTAGGTATAATTAGTAGATCTGTATACTGTAGATCGATCAGTTCTTATTACCAATAACATACAATTCACATGCATAGTTTTGATACGCATATGCCTGTGCTTGAGCCTATTTGCTTTCTCCTGGACGACGCTCGAGATAACACTTGTGTTATAATAATTTTTGTCCATATGATGAACCTTTTAATTACCCGACCGGTTAAAGACCCGCGACCCGCTCTTTTTACCTGCACCAAATATATACTCCCCCCACATATGTGTTGTCATCATTGGCTATGCACGATTAATCAAATCATCTTTCAAAGCATTTTAATTGACATGCTTATGTTGTCGTTAAATCTTGAACACCGATTATTTTACCTTGCATTTCTCTTCCTGCTGCGCTGAAGGAAACATTGCGGAGAGATCTTCGTTTTCGAAATGACTTTGGACTCTAATCTGAACCAATTCTTCCTTATCGTCAATGGCTTCATAGTTCTCTGTAAGTTTTGTACTAGTTTAGTCGTTTTTGGACGGTCCTATATTACAGTGATATATGTATATTAGGCTATGATATATGTAGACTAACTACGTGTTAACTTTGCATTTTTGTGTGTGCTTATTTTGTACTTGTACCGAAATGTTATTTTATGACGTATCAATTTTGGCAGTACAACTTTCATTTCTGCCACAGCTAAGCCTAAGGTTATAGACTAATCGTATACAATATTGCGAGGTAAATTTTATAGGCGTGATATGAAGCAACTCTGCAATGCCTGCATGATACGGACGCATGAAATTAAACTAATTTTCTAGTAAAGCCTTGCATATCAGTATGTGCGTATGAGCAAACTTAACAGATAAGACGGTAAAGTTAACCATCAATTGAACATTGGCACAGAGGCTCCTGTGACTACCGGATTCCCTTGTCACGACATTGAACTTAACGGTTTCAGGAACACTTTGAGTTGCGATAATATGACAAAATAAAACGAAAACCGTTTAAGACGGACATTCTGTGGGCAGACGTCACTCCTGAAAGACAAATGTTGATTTCGTAATTCGTAAAAGCAAAGCAGCCACATGAATCCTTCTTTGCTTCTGATTTCTAACTTTACCGCACAAACTATAGGCTATACGTTTACACTCATACCGGATAGGTTTCCGTGGCGGCACGAAAAAGCGCCTAAGTCCCGATACGGAATGTACAACCGTTTCAGAAGCTTTGAGCGCAACAACATCTCTCTCAGGGGCGCCGGAAGCAACATGAAGCGGCGGGGGCAGCCATGTAAAAAGGGCACTTACTCTTGAGCCTTAATTTTTGTGCGGGGGGGGGGGGCAATGCTCGTTAACATTTTGCTGTATAACGGATACTTCATTACTTGTACCTAATACAGTTAGACAAATTTTGGCATAGATTGGAAAATTTTTATTCGTTGCATGACACTAAAGACTAAAATGTATTGTAAAGCAACATGACAGTTATCAGTTATTTAGGAAAGTTTCCTTTTTTACTTTTTTTCATATTAGGTGAAACGTGATTCGTAACGTTTCTGAAAGAAATTCAGATTCAAGTATGAGCTAAATTGTTTAAAAACAGTTTTCAATTTCAATTCATGTGAAAAACGCATGACGTTCGAAGTGCAGTTTTGGTAAAAAGGCAACCTGCTGCCCCCGCGCTGCCACCGCACTGTTTAGGCAACGGGGGCAGCTTCCCCCGCTGCCCCCGTGGCTCCGGCGCCCCTGATCTCTCTGTTGCAATAATTCCTCTGAAAATAGCGTTCCTAAAAGCTTTCTCACTTTCTCGCTACGGAAAGCTATTCGGTAGAGTGTAAACGTAGGCTAGGCTATTATGTTTATGTGTTCGCGTTTTTGACCACAATGCAGACTATGAAATTTTGGGTCCAACTTGTAATGGAACGCAATTTTTGACACAAAGAGAATTAACTATATATAAAAACAACGAAGTGAGCATGGTTGTATAATTATTCTACATGCCGCAGCTTCAGTTTACACAGTAAGTGATAACGTATACTTGATCTCGTAGGATTAAATAAATTAATGCGGTTCAGTTTGTGGGATTAAGTTAATTGCTCATGCAGTTTAGATAACGTATACTCTTGTGGGATTATATTAATGCGCTTGCAAGTTGGAGCCAAAAATACCTGGTGTATATATGTATATATATATATATATATATATATATACAGGGTATATATATAAAAAATGTACACCTTTTCAATTTTCAAATTAGCCATAACCTTTTAAATATTCGTTGCTCTGCAGTAAGCTGGCTCATTTTATATCTTATGCAGACTTGAATAATGCTTAATTTAAACATTTTTCTTTGAGTTGTGTATTTGTTCATACAAATAGAAGTTATCCTAAATTCCCGCATATGCAGAAGACCTTGTGTTTTCACGCAATCATTAATTCGAAAAATTATACGGCTGTCAAATTACTACAATGGGGTTTATACATAAGGGTGAGTAAAAAAAAAACCTGACACCTATGCGGCTAATTTGAATATCAAAGGTATCAGTTTTTTTTACTCGCCCTGTACAACCTGTATGGCATAAAGCACTCTGTAGTTAACCTTGGATTTACCTTGTGCTTTACCTAGAACATTTCAAGACAAGTAATATTCTTTTTGATCATCGTTTGTTTAAAATAGAAACCTCGTGCGTGTTTGTGTCAAGGATGGCTAATTCGCGTGGTTAATTAGTCGTCGTAGGTCAGAGATTATTTTGGAGGATTTTATCACTGTACAAAAGGCCGGAATATGATGTAAATTTAGTGATTTTAACTTAACTATCCTAAATTGTTTTAACTACTTTTAATCTTTTTAATTATTAAACTGAAGAGTCTGTTTAATTTAACAAAAGATTCCTTTTACCTTACTAGTTCCGTTGACGTCAAGTTCCGTTATAAACTTAATAGTCCTTGTAACCTAATAGTCCTTCGAATAAGAGTCCTTTTACCTTAAGATTCCTTTTATTCATAAATATAGCAAACGTCACACTAAAATAGTAAGTTAAGTGATCATCACTCAGACAAATTATAGGTTGGAATTCAGCGTCTATTTCTATTAATTGCATTGCTTATCCTCTATTACCAAAACCACGGATCCTTTATCTCGCCCAAAAAACGTGTCATGTTTTCGTGACTACATTCCTAAGGCTATTAGTAAAACACGGAGCACGGAGCACGAAGCACGGAGCACACCGAGCACACGGAGCACACGGAGCACACGGAGCACGGAGCACACGGAGTACGGAGCACACGGAGCACGGAGCACACGGAGCACGGAGCACACGGAGCACGGAGCACGGAGCACACGAAGTACGGAGCAGTAGAAAAACGAAAATACTTTATAATAAAATACACTGTTTACTATTACAAATTTTTGTTATTATTAATAAAGAGTTTTCGCGAATTTACACGTTGGGGAAGTAGGAAAATGGGGCTTTTACTGAAAAACACATATGATGCAAACCTGCCAAAAGCCATAGCATTTAAAATGGGATTGTGAAACTCGTTATCTTACATCCATCAAGCTTATGTAGTTATATTATATTCCGATTGGGCAACACATAAAGAAACACTTACTGTAGAGAACAGCCGATATATTTCGTTACCCCTGCCCAAAAATAGCCAAGTACTCATCTTTCAATGTAGCCGGGATCGACTGAACATTAAAGCTTGTCATGGAGAGAAGTGAATTTTCGGTTTATCCTTCGGCCCAGTGTGCTGTTTCCTGACTGCCGGGCACGTAGTATTGTAAAAATACTGCCGGCAGCCGCAGACTGTAGACCAGTATTTCGATGGAATTATAAAGTTTGATAGTTTAGATACATGTGATGGATATTTTGACTATAAACTAGATAGAGTACACACAATATGCGTTACAATAATGCGTACAGCCGTTTACTTTTGGTCCAGTACAATATGCGTTACAATAATGCGTACAGCCGTTTACTTTTGGTCCAGTAAGCTAACAAATCGTACAGCCGTTTACTTTTGAAGTCGAGTACGTGTAAAGAGCATAGATTCCCAAATACTTGGTCGAGTACGTACGCATATCGAAATGCACTATTATTTAGGCCTTTCCCGATTGCGCTGGTAAAATCCAAAAAAGTTCTGGCAAAAAGGGCTAAAAAGTGCTCAAAAAGTGCTCAAAATCTCAAAATAGTGCTCAAAAAGTGCTAAAATTGTGAACAATTTTATATATCTCTATAAAGATTTTGGTAATTTTTTGAAAATCAGCATTTTTAAAAATCTGTTTCCACGTCTTTCTCCATATATGGAACAAACTTCCCTATATGGAGTTGTTTACGACAAAAAAAAGAAAAGAGAACGCGAAAAGTCAGCGTTCTAATTTTTTAACCGGAATGTCATATGCAGCTGTACGGCTTTTCTTTTAGAGTTTCACCTATAAAATTATGTATAGAATAATAGTATAATACACGTCAATTTTTAAACCTAACACCGAATTGTAAGTTTAGTTAGTGGGGTGAATAGATTTTCGGATCGTCGGATTCCGCCGAAAAAATTGTTTTATTTGGATGAGATTTATCCGAAAATTCAGCAAGGAAACGGGCGGAGTTTTAATAGGTTCAGCAGTCACAACGGCAGACTGGCAGAGTTGATCGGAATTGTAACAAATACACTTACATGCACTTAACTGGCTTCCCGAATTTAGTAGCCAATCAGATGCGTTAAATTACTCGTTCAATATCATG